GGGGGGGGGGGGGGGGGGGGGGGGGGGGGGGGGGGGGGGGGGGGGGGGGGGGGGGGGGGGGGGGGGCATGCTCTTGAAAGCTGCAGATGCTATGCATACAAGCAACCGTACCGATAGTGTCGTCGTCTTGATGAAGAGACAAATTTCTACTCGAAAACCGGACCAGCCGTCGCACCCAAGTCGACGTGTGCCGAGGGGGCATGTGCCACGTGGACGGTGCTGTGCTCAATGGTACACAGCGCCTAGACTACCGAGCGAGAACGAGACTCGTGCCGCCTTGCTAACATATTTAGTACGATATCCCGAATGTGGTGAAAGGAAGGCCTGCATCCGTTGGAAAATGCGTTCTCGTCAATTGTTCACGGCATCTGTTGCCGCTAGCCGCCTGTACGAGGACATAAGATGTTTGTCGGCGACGGCTTTGAACCTGTGAAGATATTAAGATTGCACTACATCGGTTTGCTCTCGTTCGCCATAAAAAACAAATTTGCTTTACTTGCAGCTCCTTTTGCGGATGGGAAAGTGTGGGATCCCGTTGGTCTGTCATCCGAGGCCGACCCCGGAGACATCAAGAAGTGGCGTGAAGCAGAGATCAAGCACGGGCGCGTGGTGAGAAAATGTTTCCCGTACTTGGTTGGTCTAGCATTTCCCGCGTGTATGCAGTGCACGAGTGCTGGCTCGCTTGAAAACGGTGCTGCTACTGTGTTTTCTGCTATTTTTTTCTGCAGCTACTGCGTTCCTGCTATTTTTTCTGTAGATGCTTGGTCAACTGTTGTTGTTGATGCACATCCATGGCGTCTGCTGGTACATCTAATCCTTTTATACTTGTTTCTACCCGATCGTACCTTCGTGATGGCGGCAGAATGTGGTGGCGACACAGAACAACTTCGACAATCCAACCCACCCCTCCCCTGCCTTTCGATGTTCGTTTGGCTTGCTTTCCGCAGGCTATGTTAGCGTCCGTCGGCGTCCTCGTTGCGGAGGTGAGCTAGGTCAACCGTCGTCCGTGGTGTTTTCCAACATCTAGTGTAATACTGTAGCAGCAGTAGCCACAGCCCTAGAGCTCTGTACGAGTTGCTGCTGTTACCCGTATCGTTAATCTCTTTTGAGAGAAGCACACTAAAGCACTGGTTGACCTCCCATTTTGTTTTGTTTCTGGTGGAGTCCCTTCAGCTTGGTTTTCTGGTCGGCTCCCGGTGCCGGAGGAAGCTCGTGGTGTGACTGCGAACAAGCTACCCATGAAAATGAACCTAGTTTGCTCGCTTCTGCGGCTACTCTTTGCTGGCGAAAACGTCAATTCTTAAAGTCTGCATCCGTTCAGCGCGATTAGCTGTAACTTTCGCTCTAGACAATGCTACTTCTTCAGGGAATGAATTCCAGCTCCAGCCGACTCTTGGCGGCCATGCCATACAAGTACATGCCGGCGAGGCCGTCCGTCGCCACCCTCTTGCTGTGCTCTTGTGCTCTCGTGCTCTCGATGACGAACTTGATGCACTTGTTTTGATCGACAGCCTTCCCTACGCACACGTCCGATTCTCGCTTTCAGAATTTCCACCCGTTGTTCCTCGGGCCCGACTACATTGGCCCCGCCGTCTTTCACTTCGAGGAAATCACGGCGGGCTTTCCCCAGGTGCGGCAGGCAGGCAGACAACTGGCGGATGAACACGAATCGTGGTGGCCAAGTATTGAAACGTGCTCGGCTTGATTGTTGCTTGGGCCACCAGATTGAGGTTATTCTTGGTTGCCCCTCTCTTGTGCCCGGTGGTGACGGTAGATTGGTAACGTCAGAATTTTGCGCCCGAGCGATGCACTGCCGACTCACGAAAGGTGGACGAGAGAAACGGCTACATCTGCACCTTTCCTCCTGCCACGGGCGTGTGCATGTATACGCCATACACCCAACCGGCAGACGCCTCACCATGTGGGGGTCGTGGGTGTTTCTTGCTGTTCTCAACGCTAGCTTGTCGTCTTGCTGCACGTGGCCTTACATGCACCAAAAACAATATTGGACTGCTGCAACAGTTTTGGGCGCTCACCCTGCTCGCAATTTCTTGGCTGGAATACCGCCAAATAACCATCGGGTTTGCCGAGCTTGATCCTGTGACGGGAGAAGGCGGGATGCGAGTAGATTACGTTCCGGGAGACCTGGGATTCGATCCTTTGGGGCTTGCTCCAGAAGATGAGGATGAGCTCAACGTCATGAAGACGAAGGAGCTTAACCACGGCCGCCTCGCTGTGAGTTTAACAAAGAGCATGACCGGCAGCTGTGTGGTGTTTCATGCCAAGCTGAGCATTCGTCGGTGGTGTGCGTAGTTGGTCGTCGTATTTGTTCAAGGCAGGCAAGTGTTGGATCCTTGTCTGGGTGTGCACGCGCACGTCCTTTGGGGGTGTATGTGTTGTATGGGTGAGATGGCAACAGGTGTCACATTCAGCTCACGCTATGCGGGGGTTGTCCTCAACAAGTGAGTGCTGGCGAAAACGTGCCAGGCGCTTAGTTCTTCCTGGAGCCTCTGAACACAAAACGTATCACCCGCATGACGCATTCCACACGTCCCGTGGCTTTCTCAAGGTATGGTGCTGTCTGCATGATCAGTCGCGGCGACGATCCTACCCTGCAATCATCCTGGATATCGTTTCCAAATTCGCTCACCCACGTCCCTCGTGCCCTCTCGTTGTTGAACCAAAACAATGTGCCTGTAGATGATTGGCGTCACCGGCATGATTGTGCAGGAACTCGTGAAGCCGGCGCCAATTCTTGGCTGAGCTTTGCAACGGCTTTGCAGAGGCCAATCAAGGAACTGCGGAAGCTGCTGGCTTTCTCGAACCTCGTGAAATAGGCGACGATACCGCTGCTGATGCAACAAGAAGCTCGGCAGATGGTATCGGATAGAATGTCCATGAGTCATTCGTCAACACCGTGCCTCGAGCACACGACTTCGCCGTACAAACTTGAGTGCATATTTTTCCGTTGCACGGCGGTTTGGGGTCGTTTTCAGAATGTTTCCAAAGTAGATATAGCGTTCAAAGCTACGATATAAATCGTTGCAGATGCATCCCTGAGACCAGGGGGGTGCAGGTTCCAAGTGGGTACAAATTGCGATTCTTTCGTTGCCGCTTGAAGGTTATCGCCCCCTAGGTTGTGCACGCTTTCTGCGCCCTGTTTAGGTTGACGTGTTGTGATGTGCTGTTGACCTGACCCCAAGGTTAAGGTTCAAAAGGGCCGTGCGAGGGCGTATATATAAAGTGAGGGGTCACCAGCGGCATTCAGGGCTACATGCAGTACAAACGAGCGTTGGGACAAGCCCTGTGACATGCGGTGACGGACTTCCTCTGCATGAAAACGTGAACAATACAGTCGCGGCCTATTTACCAGCGAGTGTATAGATTTAGATTTTAGTGGTTTCCCGGTTTCCCGGTTTCCCAGTGATGTTGAGTTGGCTTGCGGCAATGTGTACACCACAGCTGTAATTTTTGTTTCCAAACCGGTCAGCAGAGGCACGGGGCCGGGCAACGATCTTTGCAAGGGCGTGGTCACCAGGTCCCACTGCTGCTTTTGATGTTCTTGAGGTTTGTTATGTTGTCGTTGGATGTCGTCAAATGTCGTTCCCAATTCTAGGCCAAAGTCGAACGGCCTTGGCACAAAACCCTCAGGTTTTCACCGGTACAGTATAATAGTACTCTAAGAAAGCTTGATCACACACCGCCGAGTGGAACACCCACATGCGCTCACCAACCGGCACCGTAACCACCAAGTCCACGACAAGCCCAACCAGAATGCACCCGGGAAAAAGAAACGCGGGTCGGTCGATCCTCGTTCCACTGCTGAAAAACCACGTAGGACAACATCACCCGTTTCGGCTGCCAGGTGACCCCCTGAACATTGTACAAAGGTAATGGTATCATAAAATCCCTCCGACAGCGCGCGAAGAACGAGCTTGCTTCTTAATACACGAAAGGCAACAGGCCAAACAACCGGTCGTCAAAGCAGTCCAAACACCGAACACCAGTCTTACTGGACGGCGACATCCAGGCACGATTTTCCTACTGCACATCTGTACAGCTTCCGCGGGAGGAGATACATAATCGGTCTAAGCAGGCGTATCCGGCACCACCCCCCCTCTGCGCCTTGCACTAGGGCTAATTGCGCTTTCCGCCATGAGCTGGCGAGATACCCCGTCCCAATCAGCGGCCGCATCCCACGATGCTATCCGCCCGCTTCGGCGCGCACTGCCCGTCGAAGCTCCTGGCGATTCCGCCACGAAAAGACTCTCGGTTGGGCTCGCGGGCCCTGAGGCTGTGGCCCGTCGCCGCTTCGTCGGGGCAGCTGCCGGCGAAGCCATCAGCAAGCCCGGACTGCAGGGAATGTGCGCCTCTTCGGGGATGATCTTTCCCTCTTGCTTCGACGGTTGTTTTCGGGGACCCGTTCCCGAGGCGACAGGCGGCGAGGGCCCCGCGCCAGCGATGTTGTGGTCTGTTGTCGGGCCTGCGCGACCACCTCGCCGGCTTGACGAACGAGCGGTATCGGCACCAGTCCCCGGTCGTTTGCGAGGAGTCTCACCGACGAGCACGCCGCCTCGAGTTCGAGCAATGTCGCTGCCATTTTCCACGGCCGCGGCTGTCGGTCGCCGCTTGCGAGTTGGAGTATATACAGATGCGGCAGCAGTCTCCGTTATCGTGCGAACGACGTAACTCTCATCGGTGTCAGCGCCCGGGCGTTTGCGGTTAAGCCGGGGAGAGTGACGAACACCCACCGTAGGTGAAGGTTTGGTAGAGGGCGATTGTGGGTGTTCCCTTGGTCCTGCTTCGCACGCACGGGAGAAACACCCCAAAAGAGCATGTCACATGCCTGAAGCGAGCGGGATTCTAGATTGCGCCCGTTCCTTGTTAGATGTGAGGGGACATCCGATAAAGATGTGCAAACATAGCTTGGTCACCATTTAGGCATACGGCAGCGTTCAGGGCTTTGAAAACAACACGAAACTTTTGGTGGACACGGCTTTCAGGCAGTCTTCTACCAAATACCTCACGTGCGGTGTAAAGCATTGCTCTATCCAAGCCATGCTACCTCACGTTGCCTCCTTAGTATTCGCTGCACGGTGACTGACCGTTTTCCGATCGACCAACATTCTGGGAAGCATTGCTCGTGGTACTCAAAAAAAAAACGAAGAAAAAACGGCACTTCACCTGATCTTTGATTGGAGTCTCTCGTTGCCCGTGACCGTCGTCCACCACGTCTACCTCCACCCCCGCCGTTGCTCCTCCTCCATTCTCCGTCTTGTCCCGACCCGGCAAGCTCGCCCTGGTCGTTCCCCGACACTCTTCCCAAAACATTCTGGCGGAATCCTCCACGGGGTGCGGTGGGCCCCTTGAGCTTCACCTATCGAGTGCAGGTGCAGTGATGGCGGTGACTAAGCGTACTCTGGGCACCGGTTCGTTGAGATTCAGCTCTTCACTTCTGCTCGGTGAAAGCAGAACGGGTGAAAAAACTGCCCGAGGACCTTCCACTGCTATATTTCCGTGTGATACAAGCCAGTCGATACACTCTAACCTCTCGGTCGAACCCCGACCGTGACGTCCTGACATGGAAAAAATGGCGTGTCACTTGTGCACCAAACAAGAGGCCCACAATTTGTCTTGCAAGCACGTCAACGGATGTATGCGGGTCGCGGGATCAGCAATAATACTCTACATCCTCACCTCGCGGAAGCCGTTGAGGACGCCTGACATTTTGAAGTGGTTGTGCGACATGGCTGTTCGATCCGACAGTAAAATACCAGCCGTTGACGAAATTCCTCTCGAGGTAGAAGGCGGTCCTCCTGTTGAGTGTATGCAGCGACACGGATCCAATTCGCGGGACGGGTTTAAGTTACAGCACGCAAACAAAACGCGAGAAAATACGAAACCAGCTTCCCGCTCGGTAAAAGCCACATAGCGGGCATGTGTGTTGACATAGAGAAACGACATAAAACACAGCAGTCGAACAGGCGGCCTGACCTGCTGTCGATGATGACAGCTCGCCAGCGGCGGCAGCGTGCGAGTCATCAAGCACGCCATCAGTCCCCTTCGAGGATGCCTGCCCAACCTCGTCCCCTTCTGCTAAGGCTCGGCTGGCATCAACACAGCTGTCGCTTGGTGGTGCCCCTGTCAACACGGCGGTGAGCGCATCCGGCGGGTGGCATTCGAAGTCGTCGAAGAGCGCCCCCAGTGTGCGAGGCAACCGTGCTGCAAAGTGTTCCACAAGCGCGAGCCCCATGAAGTCCGCAAGCGTTCCGTCATAAGCGCGAGATTCAAACCCCTTCGCCTTGCCCACCCCCCCGTCGACCTTCGTTCCACAACCGTCATCGGGAGCGGGGGGGGGCTTTGTCACCGTGCAGGCATCCAGCATTGTAGAGATGGGCTGCAGATAGTCCACGAGCCGCATCCGCCGGCAGTTCGGAAGTGGATCAGACGGCCGTGCTGGTGTGCTTGGCCCGCCTTTCCGCTTGTGCTTTTTCCGCTTTCCTTTGCCCTTGCTCTTTCTACCCTTGTCATCGGTCGGGTCGCCCGTCTCTCCCGCCGCGAGTGAAGAGAAGGCAACGAGGGAATCGAGAGTCTCGGGAAGGTCCATGGCAAGGCTGTTGACTTGGCAGAGCAACAGCGCCTGCGCAAAAGACAAAAGTAGAGAGAAGCGGGGTCGTGAGCGGCGAACACTGACTCCCACCTCGGATGCGTGGCAACGGTAAGACATACGAACCGCCGCATACGAAAAGCGAGGAAACAAGACCCCCGGTACTGTATCACACCTATGCCGACTGATGTCAATGTAAGAGACACCGCTACGCGACGACAACACCATCGGCTTGCCAAACAAGTACAAACATTCATCGTCAGTTCAGCATTCGCCATGTTCGTTTTCAGTTCTGATCGACTCGGGCGGAGTTAAAAACGACAAATTCTCCGAACTGAGAAACGCTTCTGTAGCTGTACCTGGAGCTGATAGTCGCGGATCTTTTGAACGGCAGGTTTTGCTGCAGCAGCCGACGCGCCGCCCCCCCCCCCCTCCAATGATGCCCCAGAGCTTCTTTTTCCTCTATATTTGGCGCTGAGCTCCGATGGTGTTGAAGTTAGTCCGCTAACAATCGCCGCCAACACTTGTGATGCTCGCGCATGCTGTTCGTCTGTGGAGTCACCGGTGCTCATGACGTCTTTGCCGCAGTCCGCAATGTCACGAAGAGCCTGGACATTAGTGGGAGAGTGCCGCGGCGAGAAGGCGAAATCAGGTACGGTCAGGTACCATCAACGACCAGATGGGCAACGAACCACGGCCAGGTGGAGCACACTCGTCGGACAAATAAGACCGGACTGACGTGGTCCAGACTGCTGTCTAGCGTAGGTGAAGTAGCGCTGCCTGACCCAATACTCTTGTTGAATAACACACGTGCAACAATGAAATAAATGCAAAACAGATACAACCAAACGGGAGTTCGTGCCTCTAGAATAGTGCATTTGTCATTGGCAAGGCATGGCTCCACAGCAATGGGCGACCAGACCTGACTCACCTCTGGCACGGTGCACACGACGAAGTCCACGGGTGACTTTTGCCCACCCTCCACCACTTCGCGGTACTGCAACTGGAGCCCCGCAACCCCCTTCCTGATGGAATCCTCGAAAGGGCAACTTGCTCCTTCCGGAGGGTCGACCCTGCTACCCTCCACCGAACCGCTCTGTCCTCCCAATTGAGTCGTGTGACAACCGCTGTCTTGCATGCCAGGAACAAAGTGCTGGTCCAGCGGGTTCTTCGCTTCCACGTCAAGTCCAAAGGCAGTGGCAGCTTCCTCCGCTGCACAAGCTCCCACTGCTGTAACAGCGGTAGAGGAATCTGCCACCTGCCTACTCCGCCCTAAGGCCCGCACGGCTTCGACAAAGCGTTCGCGTGCCCCGACATGCGGCGGGTTTGGATTTCGCGACTTCGATGTGCCTAAATCCGTGCGAACGCAGGCACCACCACTGGAGGACGTGCTCGTCATCCCGGCCTCTCCTGCCGGCGCCAAGCATGCATTACTGCGCGCGCATCGCTCCGCCAGAGCAGCAAGCTCCACGGGAAGCGCTCCTCTGGGTAAAGAAGCCAGCATTGGCTCGGACATGAGAGACAATGGAAGCTCGCTCGCGCTGCCGTCATCCGAGTCCAACAAGCCTGTTTCAACCTCGCCCGCGTTGACGACGGCGGGAAACACGCTCTCGCTCTGACCACGATGTCTCGAGACCGTTGCATCAGCTGCTGTTCCCGCGCTCCATCCGCTCCCGTCCATGCTTTCCGGCGTTGAGGACGAGTCCGGGTCGGGACCGAGCAAAGAGGAACGAGATGAGGCGTCCTCGAGTGCCTGACAGAGCGCTCTTTTAGGTCCCCCCAAGCTCGACCCCGTAAATGACATCTGCTCGTCATCCTCCGCGCCTCCAGGAGTCGAGTCGAACAGCCGGAGGCCTCGTGGGCTGGCAGAGCCGTGAGAAGTGACAGAGGCCATCTCCAACCGCCATTGCGGTACGTCGTACGCGGCCGCTCCGTCCCCACTCGCGCCTTCCGCCGTGAAGCAAAGCGAACCGGAGTCTCTCTGCGAGAGCGATGCTGAGCGCCCACCACCTGACCCTGCCCCCTGCACGCCCACGCCCGCAAGCGATGAGCCTGAGTTGTTCATTGCACGTGCACCCTTCCCCGGCAAGCTTTTGGCCCGACGACGCCTCTTCCTGGCGAGCGACGCCTCCTGCATGGCAAGCCCCACCTCCTTCCCCCTCCCCAAGAGCGCTGATTCAGCTTGCAATTGGCCGTTGCATACGTGGGCTGCTAGAGGCGACTCCTCGTGCGTCAAGCCCGTAGAGCCTCTCCCGTCAACAGCACGTGGCCCAGAGTCGGCCTCCTGTCCACCCGGGACAGTAGGCTCCACTCCCCTCGCGCTGAAGCACACGGCGCACTCCCCACTGATCGGTACCAGCAGGGCCACGGTCAGGGCTTCGGGAAGGCATTCTGCTCGTCCGAGGCCGCCGCTGTTCGGCTGCGCATCGAACACAAACAGTCGCCGCGGAAGAGCGATCACCCCAGCCAACTCTCCTGCCACCAAGTCTCCCAGAAAGCAACGCCATAGCTGTGCACCCCGCCCACCTTCCGCTTTTAGTACTCGAGTTGTTCCCCACCCTTGCCCCAACAGACTCGAAGGCCAAACTTTGTCTACCGGTATCGTTCCCATCAGCCGCCAAGGGGTGATGTTGGAGGCAGTGCCATCAACTGAAGGTGATAACGCCGCGTTCGCAACGCCGCCGCCCCCCGAGAGCATGGACAAATCGCGTGGGTCGGCAGAGCCCGAAACCTTTGATGCCACGAGGTGCAAGTCGACGGCTCCACGCTGATTGAGAGCAACAGCCACGACAGCCTTATCCGCTCGCTCTTGCACATCACCGCCCTTCCTGATTTCCGCATCCCGGTATCGAGCACTTCGCGGTGCAAGCTGCTGTCCCAGCGCTGCAGACGGGGGCAACAAACCTGTGCTTCCCACTACCTGTCCCCAATGGAGGATACCCGAGCTGCCTGCTGCAGACAAGCATCGACGCACGATAGACCGGCCTTGGCTCGTCCCCCCCCTCCCGTTGCCACCGCCACCAACGGCGTTGCTTGGGGCCCCATCCTGCCACAGAAACGACACGCCTCGCGACCGAGCTCGAAGGATGGCCTTGCCGAGGTGCCCATTGAGGAGACTGTCGAGAGCAGAAGCTCTATCGTCCGGCAGCTGAAGGCCAGGCGACACATGGGAACATTGCAACGGATGTAACAAATAACCATGGTCACCAAAAACACGCCAGGTGTGGTGCGTCGTTGAGTTCGGATTTACATATGCTACCGTTCCTGAACAAACACATGGAATGCAATGTCGCCAGGTGTGGTGCGTCGTTGAGTTCGGATTTACATTTGCTACCGTTCCTGAACGAACACATGGAATGGAATGTCGCCAGGTGTGGTGCGTCGTTCAGTTTGGATTTACATATGCTACCGTTCCTGAACAAACACATGGAATGGAATGCTATTCACCCCTTTTCTTGAGCTTGAGGTGCTTTGCGAGTCTGGGGATATCGAATAGATCCCTGTTGCTGATACATTGGATGCGAGCGAGCATCGAAAATACATTTTTTTCCCCAAGACCACCCTGTCTGTGACATACGGTGGGAGGCTTATCGCACCTCGACGTTGGTGATGGTTGTTGCTTCACTCGTGAAGTTTCCTCCGAGCACAAAGTGCTCAGCATCGTTGTCCGTGTGGGGGAAGGCACTGTGCAGCACAATAAGCTGCTGCTTACGGTTGACCCGGTCGTCGGTAGCTCTAGCGATGCAGGGGGTAGCCTGGTATGTGACATTGGGGGAGGGCGGGCATCAGCCCCCAAAACACGGGTACAATAGCTCTAGGCTCTGCAGAAGCGAAACCACCACGTGTTGAGCAGGTGTCCACAACATATTTCCACGGTGAATGCCGAACATACTCGGGGTTAACCAGGCCACATCACCAGCCGCCTTGGATCGAAAATTAAACTGTCAGTGCACCTCGCCTCACATACACTATCGGTACGGAATGACAACAAAAAATCCTGCAGCTGGAAACTGCACAATCGAATCGGCCACTCACAACAATATGGCTGGTGTGAGGAAAACGGGAAATCGCATCCTCACCGTTCGGTCGCCCTCGCTTGCATCGTCGAACTCCTGCAGCACCTCTAGCAAAGACCGAACCACAACTTCGTGACTTGACATATCGTGTCCGTCGTACATTTGTTTGGAAATATCCTCCTTCAAGTCTTCGTCGCCTGCCGCGTCGCCTACCGCTGCGGCAGTTCTCTCCACCGCGGTCACTGGCTCGCTAAGGTGTGGCTGGGTCCTGCACGTTTGCAGCATCCAAAGAAAAGCACGGGTGGATGCCAGAGGAACAGTCGCATGTGGATGGGTACAAGCATTGACTGATGGATGCACCAAATGCTGGATAAACAACGAAGAACTGGTGTTGGCATGCACGTGGTACAGTACGTTGATAACCTGCAATGCTCATTCACGGCTAGTTGAATACAGGCAGCACAGATGCGAATAGCTCCAAGCCCTTGTATCTTTTTTTCTATCTACGTTCACCTCTGTGCATGGGACGGTGAATAGCAGGACAGATGCAAGCGAGCGTCAAAAACAATGACGTTCATCCTCGGCTGTGAAGTGGAGAGTTGGTAATCACAGAAAAAGACATCTCCGATGTATGTACCGCCACATCTAGAATACATCCATCCAAGTAAGACACGCCGTATCATCAGTACGTATGCTGTGATGCGTTGATGGTGGTTGCGGCAAGTCTGGTGGAGGCTCACCCGCGCAGCCGAGTCGCGCACCCCCACCCCGTCCGTTCAACCAAGCAACGCAAGATGAGAAGTAACCAGAAACGGGTATGCCCGGGTGGATTATCACCATTTCGGGGTACACTTGGAAACCAACACGACACCAATCTCCGACAGCATCCGCCGTAGATCGCGGCGAAACCAATTAACCGCTGTCTGTCTCCTGTGCCTCGGAAGCATGATGCACGAGGCAGGTCGTGCCCGTTTTTCTCTATCGCCGTGCCCCTATCTCTCTGTGCCGTTACTGATCAGCACCACACCGAACGAACTCGCGCGTCAAGCGAGTCCGACTCACGTCAAGAGGGGCCGGCATCCAATGGGGGCGGTGCCCATCTACGAGCGAGCGTTGTTGGTGGTTTGGTTGTGGGTATGTATGTGCGGTACACGGTATGTGCGGTACACGTTTTTTTTGCGGGTTTTATGCTAGAGCGTCGGGCGCCGGGATTATACGACCATTTCTGGGTACAAAATCGACCTCCTCCGAGTACACCAGTAACCAATATCGGTCACACCAGAGGGTCATAATGCCAGCGGTAGCTGTACCCGATGGACATTTCTTTCGAAAGGGGTACGATGGTTTGTCGGCCAACCAGATGACAGTCTGGGGGTGCAAGCGTGTTGATTTCTTAAGTGTACCCTACAGTGGTGACAAAAAATACCCGGGTATATACCCCTTTCTGGTTATTGGTCACGCAAGATTTCAAATCCGTTGGGAATTCCGCGCAGCTCGCGCAAATATCCGCCGATGCAAATACACTGCAGTTGTAGTAAGCAAGTACGCGACGCATACGTATGCACCTGGAGCGCATCGACGCTACTAGCATGCCTTGCCTTGCATTCGAAATGTACTCCTTCCCAAGAAAAAAGAAAGCTGGTATGGAGAGCCGCGTGAGTAGACGTGCAACCCCTGCATACCACGGCAGCAGTTCGATACCGGCCAGGTTGCAACATCCATGGTGCTGTACGAAAAGCTGGTCAGGGAGCTTTGGAGGGCAGATGAAGAGCGCAACGCGCACTCACCAAGTTGGGGAGTGCTTCTTCTGCCCACGAGCCCAACGCCTCAAGGCTGTCTCCCGGTCACGAGCAAGCGGGTCCCCCTGAGTCGCACAGGCCACTGCAAGGCAGGCATCCCCGAAAGCCCTAAACGAACCCTGGGTGACTCTCCTGAAACCTCGAACACTCTGGGCCGCCTGCCTTGATCTCAGTCTAGCCTTCAGCTCAGCGGGAGTTTTCCCAACTCCGCATTTCCGGGAATCGAAGAATCGCGGAGCCCACTCCACCCACGAGTTCGAGGAGCACGATAGACAGAGCTGTGAGAGCACCCGGAGGACGCTGAGCTGTAGGCCATCGACAACGGCAGCAGCCGCGATCCGAGATGCTCCGTTGGCGCCCGTTTCGTATTCCGCCGCGGCAGGCAGCTGGGCGATATCAATCAGAAGCAGCACGCGTGCCGTGCATGATGCGACCAATGGCTCTTCAGGTCGACTGCGTTCATCCTCAGCCAGAGGCTGGGTCGCCGACATTTAGCGATCTCTCTCCGTCCCGTCTCGCTTGTATAGAGCCTGCCCCCCACACACAGCACCTCGCTCACCATGGGGGACTCACGTACGGACTCGTCCGTCCGAACATATTGCGGGGATAAATATGAGTTTTGCAACCCACGGAGCACCCATGGACCGCGCCGCCAGCAAGCGCACGGCACCGCGCAGCAGGCTGCAGGGCCAGACTCTTCTGTCTTGGTTCCATGAACTTGAGCCATGAGTGTGAGCATCAAGGTCGCGGTTCGGTGCAGGCCTTTCACAATTGACGATGATTTGGGCGTAAATTTAACGCAGTCGGGGGAAGAAGAGGGCGAGGCAAGTCAAGTGTACATGTTCTCTTGCGGATGCCACAAAAGATATCTGTCGTGTAGACTACAGATGTACACTTGGATTGTTTGAATACAAACACGTTAAGATCTGGCGCAGCCTGGCGAATGAAATGCATCGTATGGGCGTAGGTGAGAAGACAATGCTGTGCCGTGGACAGGTTGCGTTCTTCCAAATCGTGCAGCGAACAAGAGCGGGTGCGTCCCGTTGTCATCGTGCTCGTCCCGTCCTCGTCGCCGTTCCCATCGGATTCAGATCGACATCCTCAACTCAGCCTACTCAACGACGAGGTTCGCCTTTACATACGCCTGGTGGTCAGCATATGGCTTCTCCCGCCATGTCAAGAATAACGCCACTGAAGCGGCTGAGATGGAACTGATCGACCAGGAGAAGGTACGATACCGTTGGCGATGTCGGTGTTGCCGGTGCTAGTGGTGGGGTTGGGGTTGGGGTTGGGACTAGTATTGGTCTGGTGTCGTCTTCGGCCAACGAGCCACCCACGATACATCTGGGATAGCACCTGGGCGGTGCTGGATCGCCACTGCTCGTAATGCGAACCTCGCGAAGCGCGGCGTCGATCAGTTAGGTGGCACAATAACCACAGGCGATGCTATTCTGCACGCTGCGTGATACCTCCAAAATCATCGAAAACGGACATGGTCGTGAAGTACAGCAGTAGATAGAGAACCATAAAATATCGCGCTACACGTAAGTTGGGTGGAACAAATCTTCTTATACGTGATGCCCCACTGACGGCATCGTTTCGATCGACGCATGCGGTAAACCGTCTCGCCTCAAGGTGTATTTATCGGTCGGGAAGAAAATCAAGGCCGACCTGCTCACGGGTAACGCGGTCGTGTTGTTCGCCTACGGACTGTCTGGCTCAGGCAAGACCTTCACGGTGTTCGGACCGGACGCGGTAGACGAGCCCGAGGTGAGATGATTTGCCACGAACGTCGAGACTCGGAATATTGCTGCCATGTACTTCCCAAAATCTTACAACACGTGGAGCACTGTGTCACGTAACCGCACGACACCGACTTGAATTTCTTAGCTGCACCCTGTCTCGTGCATGCATGGTGGTGCTTCATGCACCTAACGAACAGCAATATGGCAGGTCTGACAGCAAAGGGATAGACTCCAAGCACAACTTGTGTACAAATTTCAGATCAGTATTTTTGTCATGTCGTTTGCTGCTCATTCTTCCGGTATTCGGTATTCGCGCATGCGAATCAGGCCTGGTTCAAACATGGCGAGCCTCATCCGTTATGGGGAATTTTTCCAAGACTCGCTTACGAGGTATTCCAAGAGAAAAAAGACGGCTGGAAAATCACCATGAAATACTTTCAAAATGTGGTGAGTTCGCCTGCTCCATGGATATGTAGGCATATTGAAGAAGCGACATGAGTAAAGAAAAACATTGAGGCGTGGATAACCTTGAGGTTTAAGTTCAGAAGCAACTTTTGTAGCTGATATTCATAATGAGTAGTATACAACACAGGCCTGATTGGTGACGAGAAGTCGTGCTTGAATGTTGAAAGGAAACGTAGGTAAAGTAGCGTCCGGTGCCCAGCTTGGATAGTGTTTGGTGCAAGAGGAAAAGATAATCGGCAAACTCAACTATTTGAATTGGTCATTCTTGTCTCACAGTTGAAAACATACGCACTCCCGTTGTCGTGCGCACAAAATCACGATTATTTCAGGTTGATACCGTCCGAGATCTAATGAGTCCCGTTGGTAAGGAGATGCACTATAAGAACGGGATGAAGAAGGACGCAGATGGGTTCACCGACATTGACTGGTGCGGTAGTGCCGTCCTAAACAGCTGGGACGATCTCCGACAAGCCTTCAGGGCCGCCAACGCGCGAAAAGCCATAGCACCCACGCAGGTAAGCGTCCGCGGCGGCAGGGGGTCAGAAGCGAGATGATCCCAATACGTTGTACTGAAAGTTCATGACAATAGTGCGTTTGTTCATGATGAGCATACCACAAGAAACGCGGACACATCTAGCTTGGGTGTTAATGTCAGGAGACCTACGTTTTACCGCCGTTCGCTTCCTACACCGCGCGCTCTCGGCCAGAAAGCGGTTAGGGTATAGACCTCCGTGACGTTGGGATTACTTCTACAATTACAACAACAAGGATTGCTATTGTTCGACTTGGCCTCAGCAAGTGGTGAAGCACTAGAAATCCAAGCACCCGCCGTGTCACACTTCATCGAACGATGGATCGCAACATGCTCCAGCGATGTCTGTCTGCTTTCTTGCCCCTACATATCGTTTCGTCCCCATCAGTTTAATCACCAGAGTACACGAGGGCACTGCATCATGACGCTAGAGGTGGAAATGCCACACCCAGACATGCCGGGCATGAAACAGAAGGGAAGAGTATACGTGTGCGATTTGGCCGGGACTGAACCTGCGGGCGACATCGTGTACGCTTTGTACGAGAAAAAGGTGATTTGTGCGATCCTACCCCACGTGTTTCTTTCATACGAACCAAGTGAATTTTCAAACAAGAGCGGCAATGCTCTTGGGAGTCGTGAGACGAGCCCATTAGATGCCACGGCTCTCTCTGCGAGTGCCAAAAGAAATCAAGTGTTGAATGATTTCAAAAGACAACATGAAGCATGAGAACTTTCTGAAGCCATATGTTACGAATGAATGTGTACCCTGACCCTAAACAACACCTTCCCCCTCTGCCTGGATGCATCCTCTCAGACATTTGACAGCGGCGATATCGAGTATAAGTTTCTCGGACCGCACCAAGACCAACGCAAGACGAAAGAGTTGCAAGACCAGGGCAAGAAAATTAACCTCTCCCTCAGCGAGGTACAGGCGTGGATCCGGGTGCTACCACGCAACATGCACGGCGGCCCTTGATGGGTTGACGTTCCGACTTAGATCTGGTCGTGCGAAACGTAGAGTGTACGACGAACGATATGCGACCGCTGTCCCGACGATGTTTCGCGTGCACTGCAAGATGGAAAACCCGTCCCAGTCTTTTTCTCCGGTTACCACGTGCACAAGCTCCTTTTCAGTTCGCCACGAACAAGACTCAGAAGCGGAATGGATACAAAATTATTGCTGTGCACACTATTCTGCGATGTCTAATGTACTGACACAGATGGCCCAGTTTTTCATGAAAATGGCCGAGGCTGTCCAGAAGAACACTCTCAAGCCAGGAGGATCGATCCCCGGGTGTAACTCGTATTTCTTGTGCAAGTACCTCAAGGACACAATGCTCCAGGCTAGGTGAGTGGGGAGCAGACCCGAAGAACGCCAGTGGGGAGGGAAAGGGAACGTCGACGCCGAGCGGAAATATCAACCGAGTCTAGGCGAATGCTAGTCACACGTCAGATATAACAAGTGGTCGATATTCCGTGCAATAAGTACATGTGCACCGTGAAGAGTTTCGGTGTGGTCATGCACGAGTTGGATATTTTATCGGAAGCTCAGCAAAGTTAGGGGGAGGGAACCTACTGTAGTCCGTCACGGGGTTACATTAAGCTTGCAATTGTTGCTCACGATTTGTGGATTACCAGGAATCTCGGGGAGGGTGAGGGTGTCTTTCATCCGTGATTGAGTACTCATGGATGCAATCGTTACCCTCATTTCAGCAACCCAAGGGTCTAAGTTGTGGTCGTCTCTCCTGCCCTGCCCTCCATATGGCCGTTTTTTTCGTGAAGGACGTACCTTTTTTGCGCTATTCGACCCGAGGTTACCTACCACAAGTACACCTTTGCAACGCTGGGATTCGCAAAAAACGCTTCGGTGGTAAAACTGAAGCCCAAGATGGCCACGGTGAAGGCGACACTGGCAGAGAAAAAGCTCATGGAGGAACTGGAGCAAATGAAGGTACAGCACCTAGTAAAGCAGTGGTTGGAAGAAAGTTTGTGCGCACGCGGTGATGGACCGTTGTATCCTAAGTATTCGACTACGTGAATACGTCCAACAGGGGGGCGAAGGGGCGACTGCCTTTGTCGAAGGTAAATAGTTCGTAGAGACGGAAGGAGTAGAAACAGCCTCACAAGAGTGTTGGGAGGAGGGCTTCTTTGGTCACGGCGGGACCAGAGTGCTTCCTGTAGCCCCTGCTCCCTGTAGGTGCATGCATGACGGACGACAATGACGACAACGACAACAATAAACAACGCAGGCGCTGGTGGAGCAACTTCGACAGCAGCAGCTTGAGCTTGCACAGGCACCCGTGCCACAACCCCGACCGGCCGAAGAGCAAGTTGCGCCGGAACCGGTGCCGGAAACGACGGATGCGGTACCAGCTACGGCAGAGGGAGAAGAAACGCCGCCTGCTGCTGCATCGGAAAGTGGAGAGGACCCGAGAGATGGGTCCGGGGGTACGAAAGTGGAGGTGCCGGAGACTAAAATGGCGGGAGTCGCGACGCGGGATGAACGGGCTGCCGCCGTAGCCGATCTGGAAGAATCCCGCAAACGACGAGAATCGATGAAGAACAACGCCGAGCAGGTGACGAGACAACCAAATCACTCCGACTTTGAGTATGCTGCGCTCGTTACCAAGGTCACGTTATAGTAGCTGTCGTCACAGGCCGGAATGGAGGGGGGAGGGAATGGTTTGCACCGTCGGTGCTCATTTTGATCCGCACCACTATTATGACCACGCCTTTCGTTTGAGGCGAAAGTGGTACGAGAAATGGACTTACACTCGTTCGGTGGAGCGCTTTTGACCTGCCTCCGAAAATACTATTTTTCGAACAAACACGTGGGGTTTCTTTGCCCTACGCTGTAGTCATACAGCAACACCACATTTGCGCGTGTTTCATCGAGAAATGGGTCTTTCGTGCCGCGCAGTGTTCGCTTTCGACGTGACGAACCTGCGATCAGCTCCGTTGCAGTTACAGGTATCCGCCCATTGTCAGGAAGCACAGCATTTTCTCGGCTGCGTTGATGAACAACGCTGCCTCTGGATTACTTCATGCACGTTGGGATATCCAGGTTAGCCGACTCCAGGAGATGCTTGAAGCGAAGCAGCTGCAGCTGCGAAATGTATTGAGTGGGGGCGGGGAGGGGAAAACAGGCCCAACGCCGGAAGAGCGACAGCTGGAGCAGCAGAAGGAGGAGTACGGCCGGAGGGGAATCAGGCAAGCCTCGAAAAGGGGATATTCATGCTGTATAGTTGCCATCGGCATGACCGCCGTTGTACGTCGTGAAGGCAACACAACCAGTGGCAGCCACCCATTTCATACTCCTGGACCGCCGTGGTACAGGGGATTCGACAGATATCCGGTAGACCTATTGGCTGGTTTACTTTTAGAGTGGTCGCCTTCATGTACGACGTAGACTATTAGATCACGCTGGTCGGCTCGAGCAAAGCGGAAAATTTCATCGTGATGAAGCTCATTTATTTACGTTCTGGCGGCTCTCGTACCAGCGTCCAATCCTTCCACGTTCGTGCCCTACGGTTTGGGGGTTGTTTTCTTGCTTGCTCTTCTTGCTTTCCAGCCTGAGCCACTTCGATGCCGACACGCGCCTGCCGCACCTGGTGAATGTCGACGAGGACCCGTTTCGACACAACCGTTTCGTCTACCTCCTCAAGAAGCGGGTTACCGTCTTTGGGCCGCAAGGCGACGTTCAACCCATGTCGCTCAGGTGGAGAAGTAGAACCCCTACGAATAAGTAATTCGACATCGAACCAACTAGTGAAGAAAAAAAAAACTGCCCCAAGCAGCAAGGAACGAGATCATCGTACTAGATGGCGAAGCGGGCGGGCGGGAGAGGTGGCTGCGAGATGTTGTATGATATTCCTGTAACAAAAAGGAACGTGTATTCGAGACACTTCTTGAGATTAGCCGCCGTTCAGATGCCACCAGAGTGCCTTATTTGGCGAGCGTCGGGCGAGAATGGCCTTGTTTCTGCTGATCGGATGCTCAAGTTCGAAGGATGTTGCTGATTCTGCTGGCTCCGTACTCGACAACACCTGCAGCGCTGCTTGCTGGGACCTGCCCCTGGTCCTTTTCTCTCGCATAACGTCCACTAGACTATCCGGCACAGCGCCCACCACGATACACGATGTTGTGTGCGCTCGTGCTTTCTCTGAACCACGTGTTTACCCATGCGTATCATTCCATGTCAGTGTCCAGCGCAAACACTGCACTGTGGAAGTGAAGAAAGCTGCAGAAAAGGGCGAGAAGGGCACAGTCACCCTCATTGGAGGTAGGGGCGAAGTACTGCACAACGGGAGGCGAGTGCGCAAACAAGAACAGGTGAGTGGGTGCCGAAGAGTAGTTATCACCAGCAATACAGCGTTTTCAGCATCGTCGCTCTGTTTCGAAGAACGTGTTACCGACTCACAGTTTGCACTTCGATCGGCCTGTTTTCAGTGCGCCTTGCCTCCTGGCTAAGTACGCCCTTTGCTGCTCGTACCACGGAGATAAGCCCTTCTCAAACGCCCATCTACGCCAACGTGGGACTATTTAAAATCGTTTTTTTCCCACCGTATTGACCAACTGTCCACCGTAGGTCGTTCTGGCACTCTACGATCGAGTCGCCATCGGGGGCGAGCTTCTTCTCTTCAAGTGGAAAGCGCTCGAGACGCCGAAGGCGGGCCCTCCTCCCACCGCCGAAGAAGCCGTAATGGAGTTTAGGAAAGCAATGCAGGCATGATGCCGAGAAGAATATTCTTGTTAGTACCTTACAAGACTCCTTAGAGCGTCACGTATGTGTGGGCAGCTTGCTGCTGAGTCGTGTACTACACCTATAATAGCGGGAATAACCGTGATGGAGCAGCAAGAAGGATCAGGGCAGGTCAAGTGGTTCCTTTGTTTTCTTTAGTCGTTGGCGCTTTTCACATTTATTCAGCGGTTTAGCTGGAGCCATCCCGGGGAAGCCGAGACGGAAATCCAAAGTCGACACGGAGATTATTGAAGTCGTTGACATTCAACTGGCCACGTCCTTTCACGCCCGCCTACAGTATGCCAACACTGCAGAAAAACGAAGCACCCGTCTAGAAAATACTTCGAAGTAGCACAATCGCGGCTCGGACTCCTGTCAGCATTTGGGAAACGCTCCCTCGCCCCCGCCAGTGCTCTGGTTAGGGTTCATCGTCCTCTTCCTGCTCTTACATTCGTCGCTCACCCTCCTGCAACGCCCACGCCATGACCTTTCTTTTTCAAGGCCCGAAGCGGGCGGCGCCGGTCCGCAGAGATGCATGCCATGGAGGAGCAGCTCAAAGATTTACAGGCAAGTCCAAATATGCGTGTTAGGCTGTCGTGGAGTGCGTGGTCTGCTAAGGCAACGGAAAACACACCAAGCCTGTTTTTCAATGCCTGTCCCAAACTGATGCGCCGTTCTCAAACGATGTTCTTTGAAGTCGCGCCTATCAATGCGCTTCGCCCTCGTCTGTGCCCAGCAAAGAATTGACGTGACTTTAGGGCGAAACGGTTTTCGTAGGCACTTCCGCGAAGCTTTCGACAAGCAAGAGTCCCCGGAAGGAAAATATACCTCGAACTACTCAATCGAAGCGTACTATTTCACAGGGACATGAAGATGCATCTGGGGTTATCGTAACTCTGGACGGATTGGGGAACGTGGGCAAGGAGGACCGTGTACGTGCCATAAGGTGTTCGCCTACGTAGTTCTCACCACGTGTTTGATGCATTCGGTTGTCCTATCGAGCGTGTTGCACCTGACCGTAGGGTGCCGTTCTTGACGCTGTTTTGTCCACTACTACGGGACCGCTAGCCTCATTTCGTTGTCCACCTGTCAAGCGTGACAGATTGCCAAAGCCAAGGCAGAGGAAGAAGCCACGAGTGCCACCAAAGAGAGGAAGGGAAAGGAAGAAAAGGAAACGTCTTTGCTGTTCAGCGCAGCGCCTCTCGACGACGAGCACATCGCTTCGGTGAGTGATGGCATTGATACTTACCGGTGCGATATGGCCATCATGATGACAACATTCAGTATACCAGCCTGCGGGCGAAAGCATGCTCATTATCCGAAACCTTCTCTCGAGGTGCAAGACTTCACTGGGAAGTACCTAGCAGTTATTTACAAGCAACGACAACGCCAATTTGCGGGGAAATATTTGCTCTCAACGGCGGATAGAGTTGTGGAGGCGGCGGCGAGGGTGGACGAGGGGAGCAGAAAGTGGATGGGTGGCACGAAAAAATTAGTTCGGCAACGTGACCGCGCACAGGACAAGAAATCGGCCACTTTCTTGGAGACAAGGTACTGAAAGCAACGGCTGGCGCCAAGGACATGTCAAAGACATACCTAGTACATACCTGGCACGAAACAACCGCCGAAAAAATTGTTGATCCCTTACATACATGTGTCTGGCTGCGTTCCTCTCACGATGACATTCACACACCATGACGTGTTTGTCAAGCTTTAGTCCATTGGCTTCTGTGGCATGCAATGGCCCATAGAGTACCCACTGCTTGTTGTTACTTTTGTCGCCATTACTGTCAGTGCTTGTTTTCGTCGTGACAAGTGTTCGAAGGCTTGCATGTGTGGCCGTTGCTTGATTTAATGTAGGTGATTCGATCGGCGGAAGACGAGGTCCAAATGCTCCTGCCCCACGTGAAAGAGGCGGAGCAGTTCATGCAGCTCTTCGGACGGGACTACCTGACGTTCGACGTCAGCCTGCAGCGCTCACAGGTGCAGTGTCAGTGTTCTACAAGCACCATCCTCTAAAAATCTTCTCAAGCATACCCCTTGTGTTTCTACCAGGTATCGATACCTGTCGAGGTACATAATAGGTTTTGTACGATGGACTCAGGGCTTGGCGGGTGGGCGTCTGCGCCGCCTGCCCATTGGGTCGCCAGAACGCTTGTGAAGTCAATCGTACTATGGTCTCCAAACACGTACTCGTTGTACATGGCAGTCGAAAATGCACTCAATAACCCCGCCAACATCAATTCACCCACCTTTCGCGGAGCGCTCACTTAGCTCCCTTCATGCCTGCTGTGGTTGATTCCGTCACTGAGTGTGGTTGTGATCTCTCTCCCTCTCTCTCTCTCTCTCTTCAGGGGGATGCGTTCGAGGTAGCCGCAAGCGTGCAGGTAAGGAACGAGCGAACGGGGCAGGGCTGCTACCTGTCGTCCTTCGAGTTCCTGGAGCAACACTCGATATTCAAAGACGAGGTACGGCCGCTCTTCGCTACGACGGACAAAGTTGAGAAACAGCACAGCGATATGCCGACACCCTCCTGTACGTCTGGTGATGCTGAATCTGGTAGAAGACCAAATCAGCAGCGGTTCATGGTATAGTTGAGGTGCAACGATTAGGCTTGCGAGGGGTGCTGACTGCGTTCTACAGAACTAAAGCAGGATAATCGCGTTACCGTTCGGGTGGCTGTAGAAGAGAGTGCATCACGTACCAAAAGAGCGTCTTCTCAAAGAGAAAACAACGTTGATTGACACCTGTGGGAATCTCAAGGTTGCCCAACTCCAAGCGGCTCTAGACAACGGACGAGAGTACATGGTCTCGGAGGAGCACGACCCAAGCCTGTTGCTCTTGCAGGGCACACACCAACTGGGAGCGGCCACTCTTTTCACGGAACCCATCGTCTACATGATGGCGACGGAGGTGGGGGGTATTCACCTTGAATTATAGTTATCGTTTCAACCCTGCCAGAAGAATCGAGAGGGGACAGGTCGACGCCCGATCAGAATTTTTCCTCTACAGCAGTATGACGATGTGTTGTAGGTTGGTGCGTACGCCCTGGAGACAACCGGAAAATGCACTTGAAACGGCGGCTCAATGAGTACACACAACGATGAAACACCTCAGGTGCTCTCCCTCACACCGCCTACAACGCCCCAAACTGACCGATAGGACGAAGAGCGGTTTTCGGTTATCAAAAACGTGCGGGCACCATACGGCGAAGTTGGCATGCTGGAGAGCTCGTGGCACCCCCTGGTGCTGGATGCGGATGGAAGAGCCGTCGATCCTGAGGCGGACGACGGCTGCGATGTTGATCTCCCGGAGATCGATTCGCCCAAGGTGCGATAGATTTAGGAATAGAGGCATCGTGAACCATGTACCGCACACTGCTACCGTTTATGACGCGCGGGACTCTCTCCTTCCCTCGTGCTATAGGGATACAAGGAAAACCACACCGGCCTTTTGTGGTAATGTCTTCCCCTCCGCTGTTCTCCGATACAGTGCTCTTCGAAGGCCTTCAGACGTATCCATCTCGCCGCGGTTCGATCCTTGATCGAAGGTTTGTTCAGAAGAAGAATGTATAAGTCCAGTGACAGATGGGAGACACAAATGTGCTGCTGTGGTAACCCTCCCCCTTCCCGGCTCTGCGTCTCATGGCCGTGATCCTCAGGACCTGATTGGACTGCCTTGGGCATACCGCTTCGAAATAAAGGCCGGGTACAACCTACCGCTCACGTGTGCTTCGGCGTACTGTCAGTACGAGCTCTTGGGTGAAACATTCACAACTGAAACTGTTCAGCCAGACCCGGCGTCAAATTCGCCGACTCTCAACTACTCCTTTGTGCACAGGGTCGACAAGGTGAGTGTGAAGTTGCTCGAGTTTCGTAAATTCGCGTGTGGACACAACCCCTAAACAATTGGATGCATCTGGCAGCGGTTGCGAGCCTTGGCAAAGTAGATTGAGGGCGCCGAAGTCGAGCAACGCACGGTCCGAGAGCTCTCGATGGGGAAATAATGAAGTCGCCGATTTTGGTACTCGCCCCGCCACATATCCTCCCTTCTTCCCCTCGCTCCTCGACAAGCTTTTGCTTAGACATGGGTTGTAGTGAAGGGGGGGGTCTTTCTGGCGAGCAGGGCTAGACTCACCCTCAAGGGATGACCGAAACCTTCTTGCTGCTGCGCATATCCGCCGCGAGGCATGCGCGTGGTGGTGTAGTTGGGTCGGCACTGATGGGGTCAGGCGAAAAAATGTAGATGCGCGGGCCTCT